TCATTGTCTTTCTTTTCTAATTGATGTGACCTCTTCACAGTCAGAACCTTCAATCCTTCCATTTACACTGCTACTTCGAATTCCTCCACTCCCCCTCTCTGTCAGTATAAAGTCTCCCTTAATGGAACAAGCAAAACTCCCTGGTAAGATATTGGTCCCTTTCTCGTTCAGGTTAGACCCATTATTTTTGAGCAGGTCTTTTCTATCCTAAAAGACTTTATTCATTAATGGGATGAGGGGCATTGCCAGCTAGGCAGCATTTATTGCCCATCCCTAATTGTCCAGAGGGCAGTTAGCAGTCAACCACATTGCTGTGGGTCTGGAGTCACTTGTAGGCCAGACCAGGTAAGGATGGCAGTTTCCTTCCCTAAAGCACATTCTAATCGTCCAAAAAACTGAATCCCCAAACAAAATACCAGCTCTTCAGCCATTGATTTATCTCCTTATGCTTTTGTTCCATCCCTTGTTTGAGTTTGGCATTGAGAGTAAACCAGAGTTTACTATTTTTAAGGTTCTTTTTTTAAATCTTCTACCTACCTCTTAAATTCAATCTGTACTTCTTTAATCTTCACCCTAAAACTATCATTTCCTACCAATTTTTACAATAATTTCTGGTTTCTCAATCTCACCTTTAACAATAAGCTTGAAAACTTCCTAGCACCAGGAAAGCAACAGACCATCCTAAATGTACGCTCACTGCCACAGAATCTCCTGTATATGCCCCTGGCAGGAGAGTACCTGTAACACCAATTCTATTAAATTTTGTCAAACACTGCCTAACGTAAGAATTATTCCACGTGTCCAATAACTGATTGATTGCCCCTTCTATTTTTCTCGGAGAGATTATCCCCTTCAACTGTTCCAAAAACTGAATATCTATTTGACAGAGGAATATCCACTGGAGACTTTTGAACTATCTTCTTACTTTTCCCGACAGTCACCATCTATCTGACAGATCCTGTTGTGTAATAACTTTTCTAAATCTGCTAGCCATCTCGTTCTGTAACTCATACATGCTCTTAATAATATTAAGCCTAAAAAAAGGAACTTTCAATAACACCTGATATATAAAATAAACCACCTCTCATTACTTACAGAAAATAATGATAAAATGGGGAAAAAAATTACAATGTATGTATATATTTATCAAACATATAAAACTTAACTAAAATCAACCACTTCACTTATTAACTGAATAAAAGGTGGCTCATCTTCAATAAATTCCTTACAGAAAAATATCTTCTCCAGAGCCGACCATGTGTAGGACTCCCCGAAACGAGAAAACACCTCCTTATTTTTTAAAAAATAACTTCAGTTTTTCAAAAAAAAACCTTTGCAATTTAAAAAATACCTTTAAAAACACGTATGGTCTTTTTTAACTCTTGAATTTAGAATTTAGTTAAAGAAATGCTGCAGTCATAGATTTGGTCAGATCCTATCTCTAGAGTACTGTGTCCAGTTCAGAGGGCTGAATCATAGGATAGGGATACTAGGGCATAGACAATAAATTATGAAGAAGGATTGCATAAAACCTTGGCTTTAAAAGATTAGGGAACATTTAGGGTGGCACAGTGGCTGAGTGGTTAGCACTGCTGCCTCGCAGTGCCAGTGACCCAGGTTTTATACCACCCTTGAGCAACTGTCTGTGTGGAGTTTAGCCATTCGCCCTGTGTCTGTGTGGATTTCCTCCGAGTGCTCTGGTTTCTTCTCACAGTCCAAAGATGTCCAGATTAAGTGGATTGGTGATGCTAAATTGCACGTAGTATCAAGGGATGTACAGGCTAGATAGACTAGCAATGGGAAATGTAGGGTGATGGGCTTGGGGGTTGGGTCTGGGTGGGATGCACTTCAGATAGTTGCTGTGGACTTGGTGGGCTGAATAGCCTGCTTCCATATTGTAGGGATTCTATGATTCAGTCATATTAGATACAGGGTCAATTGAAATTTATGATTGAGATCTACATATGTTTATTATGAAGTTATTATCATGTATTTCAGACATTGGTGTCATAGAAATTCACCAATTTAAATCCATCCATTGACCTTAGGTCTAGTCCAGTATATGAGGCTTAAAGAATACAACAGCGTACCTGTCAGCCATAACGTCATAGAGTAATATAGCATTGAAAACAGGCCCTTCGGCCCAAAATGATCCATGCTGTCCACTCAGCTAGTGCCAATTGCCCACATTTGGTCCATATCCCTCTAAAGTCTTCCCATCTATATAACTGTCCAAATGATTTTTAAATGTTGCTATTGTACCTCCCTCAATCACTTTCTCTGGCAACTCATTCCATATATGCAGCGCTCTTTGCATGAACAAGTTGCCCCTCTTAAATCCTTCATAAATCTTTCCCCTCTCACCTTAAACCCATGCCCACTAGTTTTCAATTTCTCATCCCTGGGAAAAAGACTACATGCATGCATCCGATCTGTGCCCCTCATGATTTTATACACCTCAATAAGGTCACCACTCATTCTCCCAGGAATCCAAGGAATAAAGTACTATCTTGGCCAACCTCTCCCTGTAACTCAGGCCTACTAATCCTGGCAACATACTTGTAAATCTTTTTTGCACATTTTCTAGTTTAACTGGGTCTTTCCTAGAACAGGGTGACCAAAACTGTACACAATACTCCAAGTGTGTCCTCGCTAACGACTTAAACAACTGTAACATAATGTCCCAACTCCTATATTCAAAGTCTTGACTGGTGAAGGTCTGCATGATAAATGCCTTCTTCACCACCGTATCTACCTGTGATGTCGTTTTCAACGAACTATGTACTTGTACTCCTAGGTCCCACTGTTCTATAACACTCCTCTGGACCTTACCATTTACTGTATAAGTCCTACCTTGGTTTGACTTTCCAAAGTGCAACACCTTACACTTATCTGTATTGAATTGCATTTGCCAATCCACAGCCCACTTCCCCATCTGATCAAGATCCGTCTGAAATTTTTGATAACCTTCCTCGTTATCAATGATACCTCCTAATTTTGTATCATCTGTAAACTTCTTAATCATGTCTTGTACATTCACATTCATAACAAAGTTTGCAGCACCAACCCCTGTGGCACACCACTAGTCGTAGGCCTCCAGTCCGAGAAACAACCTTCAACCATCATTCTCTGCTTCCTACCGTCAAGCCAATTTTGAATCCAATTAGCTTGCTCTCCCTGGATCCCATGCGACCTAACCTTCATGACTAGCCTGCCATGTGGGACTTGTCAAAGGCCTTTTTAAAGTCCATAAAGACAATATCCACTGCCCTACCCTCATCTATCCTCTTGGTGACCTCTTCAAAAAACTCTAAAGGATTTGTCAGACATAACTTCCCACGCACAAATCCATGCTGACTATCCCTAAGCAGACCTTGATTATCCAAATGTTGGTTGATCCTGTCGCTCAGCATCCTCTCCAGTAACTTGCCTATGTCAGGCTCACTGGCCTGTGGTTCCCTGGCTTGTCTTTGCTACTTTTCTGAAACAATGGAACAACATTGGCTATCTTCCAGCCTTCTGGAACTTCAGTGGCTAAAGATGAAGCAAAAATCTCTGCAAGAGCCTCTGCAGGTTCTACCCTAACTTCCCACAATGTCCAAGGATGGACTTGATCAGTGGAAGTGGGAAATGACTGCAGAGTTTTGACTTAGAATTATAGAATCCCTGCAGTGCAGATGGAGGCCATTTGGCCCATCAAGTTACAACGACTCAGAACCCACACAGACACGGAGAGAACATGCAAACTCCAGACACACAGTTATCCGAGGTTAGAATCGAACCTGGATTCTTGAAGCTGTGAGGCAGCGATGCTAACCACTGTGTCACTGCCACTCTAACTTGGGGGTGTAGTGAGCATGGGAGAAACAAAGTGGGTCCTCCAATGAATGATCTGTCTCTTTCTGCCCAATACTCCACTTCCTGCAATCACTGATTCTTCCCCCTATCCTACTGCTCCTCCAGATTTAGAATCACGATTGGAGAGCGGAAAGGGAGGGAGAGCACATGCCATTGGTGTTTGAAGAGTACTTATTCTGGTGGGTCTTGCAGCACCTTTGCAGGAAACCATTGTCTGTGCTATTGTGATGTAAAGTGTATGTTTTTACATATTTTCATATCATTTAGTTCAGGGTTTGTTTTTTGAGTGTATTTTGCATCAGTCAAGTAGCATGTGGGTTTTGTCTGTGTGTATACAGGGGCTTAAAATGAACTTTTCTTGCTTTCTAGGGCCACTTTGTTTTTAAAAAAATGTGAGAGTGGTAAGAAGAACTTACTTGCATTTGGAGAGTTTTGCAAGCAAATGGAATAAACGTTGAAGAGCATTAAACTGCTTTTATTTAGAAGGATCAGGGATTGGGGAAAAAAAACTTCCTGTAGCTTGGAAACCCTTTGGTTTCAGTTCACAGATATCCAGGTTGATGCTGGATGTATGAAACTCCTGGAGTGAGGAGTTAGTTCAGAACAGTTAAAAATAGGTTACCTTTGCCAAGTTTTCTTTGAAATTTTCAGACCAGAAGTATTTGGTTTCAACTCTGAAGGGGCTATTTGAAGCTAAGAATTGTTGTTTGCCTTTTGTGCACTCAACATTTGAATTTTAAAAGCCAATGAAGGTGGACCTAAAAATTAATGAAGTCAAGACAGTAAGATCTTTTCTGCATATATAAAAAGTGAGAGAGAGGCCAAAACAAACTTAGGCCCCTTAGAGAATGAGGCTGGAGAAACCTATAGTGAAGAACAAGGAAATGGCAGAGGAGTTGAGTGAACACTTTGCATTAGTCTTCACATTAGAGGACACTAATACAAACATACTAAAAGTACTAAATAATCAACGGAGCAAAGGGGAAAGGAAGTAAAGACAATAATTATTTCTAGAGGGAAAAAATATCAGGGAAACTAATGGGATTAAAGGCCGATAAGATTCTTAGACCTGGCAGGTTGCATCCTAGGATTTTTAAAGAAGCAACTACGAAGATAGTGGCTACACTGGTAGGAATTCTCGCTTGCTTTGGCAGCACACATACTAAAATTGGAATGATCCAGTGAAGGCTACCATGGCCCCTGTGCAAGGATGATGTGCAAGTTCATGAAATGTTCCATAATTTTAAAAATGTAATCTTCCAAGTATCCTTAGATTTTGAAAAAGTCCAGACGATTAGAAAACAGCCAATGTAAAACCTTTGTTCAAAAATGGAGGGAGGTAGTGAGCTGGTACCCGCTATAGGTCAGTTAGTTTAACATTGGTCTTTGGAAAAGCTTGAAATTCTATTACAGAGGATGTAATAGTGGAACATTTAGAAATACATAATATTATTGAGCAGACAAGGGAAATTGTGCCAGTCAAATTTCTTAGAGTCCCTTGAAGAGAAAACAAGTGCGATAGGTAAAGGGGAACGAGTAGATGCAGTATATTTGGATCTCTGAAAGATGTTCGACACTCTACCACATGTAAGTGTACTTAATAAGATAAGAACCCATGTGTTGGATGTGGTAATATCAGCATGGATAGGATATTGGCTAATAATAGAAGGCAGAATTGGGAATGAAGGAGCATTTTCAGGATGGCAACCTGAAACTCATGGGAGCCATAGGGATCAGTGCTGGGGCACAATTTTTTACAATCTGTCTTGGTGGCTTGGAAGACAGAAGCCAATGTACTAGAAATTTTGAGCTTATGCACTTTGGCAAGAAGAATAGAAGAGCTGAATATTAATTAAATAGAAATAGACTACAGAAAACTGCAGCATGGACCAATTTTGTGGGTCCTAGTTCAGCAAAGGAAACAAAGTATAAAAATGGAAAAATCTTCCTAAAATTATACAAGAGACGAGTTAGAAAACAACTGGAAGACTTTGAAGAGTTTTAGGCCTCTTATATAAGAAATGATATACTAGTAGAGGAGAAAGTCCAGAGAAGTTTCAGTAGTCGATTCTGGATATGGAGGGATTTTCACGTGAAGAAAGTTTTGAGTAGGTTGGATCTGTACTTCATGGACTTTGGAAGAATGAGAGTTGATTTGGAAGGGGCTTGACAGGGTCCATGCTGTGAGGCTGTTACCCATTAAGCTAAGACTATAAGATTTAGGAGCAGAATTGAGCCATTTGGCCCATTGAGTCTGCTCTGCCATTTTATCATGGCTGAAATGTTTGTCAGCTCCATACTGGTGCCTTCTACCCATAACCTGTGATCCTCGTACAAATCAAGAACCAGTTTTAAACACAATTAATGATTCGTCCTCCACAGCCATCTATGGCAATAAGTCCCATAGATTTACCATTCTCTGGCTGAAGAAATTCCTCCTGTTTCAGTTCTACAGGGTACACTGAAGCCATGCTGTCGGTTCCTTGTCTCTCCTACTAGTGGAAGTATCTCCACACCCAATCTCTCCAGCCCTGTCAGTATTCTGTAAGTTTCAATGAGATCCCTGCCCATCCTTATAAACCTCATTTGAGTACCGATCCAGTGTTCTCAACCACTCCTTGTATGGCAAGCCCTTCATCCCTGGGATCATTCTTATGAATCTCTTCTAGACTTTCTCCAACACTAGCACATCTTTACTTCGATACGGGGCCCAAAACTGCTCACAATATTCTAAATGTGGTCTGACCACAGCGTTATACAGTCTCAGTAGGACATCCGTAGAATACATCTTGTATTGTAGCCCTCTTAAAATGAACGCGAACATTGCATTTGCCTTCCTACCTGCTAACTGAACCTGCATATTACCTTAGGCATCCTAGTTTAGGATTCTCTTAAGTCCCTTTGTGTTTCACATGGCTCAGTGGTTAGCACTGCTGCCTCACATTGCCAGGAACCCGGGTTTGATTTCAGTCTCGGGCGACTGTCTGTGTGGAGTTTGCACATTCTCCCTGTGTCTGCATGGGTTTCCTCCGGGTGCTCCGGTTTCCTCCCACAGTCCAAAGATGTGCAGGCTAGTTGGATTGGCTGTGCTAAATTGCCCATAATGTTCAGGGATGTGTAGATTGGTGTGTTCATGGAGGATGGGCCTGGGTAGGATGCTCTGAGGTTCGGTGTGGACTTGTTGGGTCGAAGGGCCTGTTTCCACACTGAAGGGATTCTATGATTCTTTGATTTCCGAGGCCTTTCCCCATGTGAAAAATAGTTTATGCCTCTTTTCCTGCCAAAGTGCATAACCTCACACTTTCCCACATTCATAATCCATCTGCCACTTCTTTGCCCACTCTCCTAGCCTGTCCAAATCCTTCCGCAGTCTCCCTACCTCCTGAATACTACCTGTACCTCCACCTACCTTTGTGCCATCTGCAGATTTAGCAACAATGCCCTCAGTTGAGTAGTCTCATCACTGACCCTTGCGAATTCCAGTAGACACCATCTGCCGTTCTGAAAAAGACCCCTTTATGCCTACTCTGTGCCTTCGGCCAGCCAGCAATCCTCTCTCCATGCCAATACCTTACCTCTAAAGTCATGGACTCTTGTAGGAACGACCAGGACTAGATGGCATAATCTCAGAGTAACATGTTTTACCATTTAAAACATAGGTGCAGAGGAATTTTGTCTCTTCGAGCGTACCGAATCTTTGGAATTCTTTACTGCAGAGGGCTGTTGAGTCATTAACTTTATTCAAAGCTGAGAGAGACTTAATAAGTAAGGGAATCATGAGTTATGTAGAAAAGACAGAAAAGTGAAGATGTAGAGTCGTACAGCATGGAAAGAGAACTTTTGGTCCACCTTGTCCATGCTGACCGGATATCCTAAATTAATCTAGTCCCATTTGCAAGCATTTGCTAAATATTCCTGTAATCCATCCTCTTCATGTAGCCAACCCGATGCCTTTTAAATGTTGTGATTGTACTCACCTCCATGACTTATTCTGGCAGCTCATTCCATACACACACCACCCTCTGCATGAAAAAGTTGTCCCTTATGTCCCTTTTAAATTTTCCCCCATCTTCATAAACCTATACCCTCCAGTTTTAGACTCCCCAACCCTGGGAAAAAGACCCTGGCTATTCACCCTATCCATGCCACTCATGATTTTATAAACTTCTATAAGGTCACCCATGAACCTCTGATGCTCCAGGGAGAATAGCCCCAGCCTGTGCCACCGCCCCCTGTAGCTAAAAACATACAAAACCAGCAACCTTCTTATAAATCTTTTCTGTACCCTTTAAAGTTTCACAACATCTTTCCTATAGCAGGGAGGACCAGATTTGAATGCGTCAATCCAAAAGTGGCCGAACCAATTTCCTGTACAGCAACAACATGACCTCCCAACTCCTATATGCAATGCACTGACCAATAAAGATAAGCATAGCATATGCCTCCTATGCTACCCTGTCTACCTGCGACTCTACTTTCAAGGAACTGTGAATCTACACCCCGGGGTCTTGATGTTCATCAATACGCCCCAGAACTCCACCATTAAGTGTATAAGTCCTGCCCTTATTTGCCTTACCAAAATGCAGCACCTCACATTTATCTAAATTAAACTCCATCTGCCACACTTCAGCCCATCTGATCAAGATCCTGTTGAATTCTGAGATAACGTCCTTCACTGTCCATGACACCACCAATTTTGGTGTCATCTGCAAACTTACTAACCATACCCCCTGCATTTACGTTCAAATCATTTGTATGAATGACAAAAAGCAGTGGACCCAGCACTGATCCTTGCGGTACACCGGTGGTCACAAGCCTCCAGTCCGAAAAACAATCCTGTATCACCACCGTCTGTCTCTACCTTTAAGCCAATTTTATATCCAAATGGCTAGCTTTTCCTGGATTCCATGTGATCTAACTTTGCTAACCAGTCTACCATGTTGAACCTTGTCGACTGCCTCGCTGAAGTCCATGTAGACAACATCCACTGATCTGCCTTCTTCAGTCTTCTTTGTCACTTCTTCAAAAAATTCAATCACATTAGTGAGACATGATTTCCAGCACAATGTTGACTATCCCTAATCAGTCCTTGCCTTTCCAAATACATGTAAATCCTGTCCCTCAGAATCCCCTCCAACGATGTACCCTTCACTGACGTCAAGCTGACAGGTCTATAGATTGCTGGCTTTTCTTGACCACCTTTCTGAAATAATGGAACTGAGGATTATCAGATCAGCCATGATCTCCTCAAATAGTTGAGCAGGCTTGATGGTCCAAATGGCTTGTTCTGCTCCGATGCCTTTGTCTAATTTTACTTATTTGAGTCTGATGGTTTTTGGATGGTTTGCACCTTGTTAATGGTTTTGGTTCTGCTGGAGAGTCTTGCATTGGGAACATCAGATCTGCTGTCTCCATTTGGACTTTTCTGTGTACCTTCAGTGTTTTATTTTCTAATGATTGTTTTGAATCATAGAATCCATTTAGTGTGGAAGCAGACCATTCGGCCCAACGAATCCACCCTGATCCTCCAGAGACCATGCCACCTAAACCCCAGCCCATCCCTGTAACCCGGCATTTCCTATGGCTAATCCAACTAAGTCACAAATCCCTGGACACTATAGACAATTTAGCATGGCCAGTCCACCTAACTCGCACATCTTTGGACTATGAAAGGAAACTGGAGCATCTGGAGGAAACCCACGCAGTCAGAGGGAGAATGTGCAAACTCCACACAGACAGTGTGCTGAGGGTGGAATCGAAACCATGTCACTGGCACTGTGAGGCAGCAGTGTCAACCACTGAGCCACCATGCTGCCCCAGGGGCAAATATTATGATTCTATGAGAGCGATGTTATCCTGCACACTAGACTGTACTGTTATCAGAATGACCAAAATGTAGATTGTTTTAGTATGTTTTAGGATATTTCAGTTGCTCATTTTTCCTTCAATTAAATGCAAATACAGGATAGCTAGAGTTGTAAGTTAAGCCTATCCAGACAGCATTGCAGTTTATTTTGATTTTTCTTATGAAATTTCTTTCCAGTTTCCAAGGATAATTAATAGTCAATCCAATGTTATAACCCAGTTTATCAACTATGATCATTTACATTTCACGAGCCACTCATCTATATTTCTAACAGCCTGTTTTACATAAAGTTTAATTATCTACATTTTCTTATTGTTGGGAACAGTCCATACAGTTTATCAAAAGTTAGTTGATACAGATTCAAATACTTTGTACTCAAAAATGATTGCCAGTTTTGTAGTTATGCTGTGATTGCGTTACCAATGTGATCCATGGCTCAGAAGGATTTATGTAGTCATATGTCATCTTTCTTCAACAGTAAATAAATCTCAGTTTAATTATTTATGTTCATTGCAATTGTTTAGAACTAATAGAAGATAAAGGGAAAACCTGCATATCCGTCAGGCACTTTTTATGATGATAAAGGTGTAGATTCTTGAGCGACACTATGGATTTTAATCACTTGTTTTCAACCTAAGATCCACTAAAAGCCAAAACCAAACCTCAAGGAGTAAAAAAAAATGCTCTAGTGCCATGAGGGTTATGGAGTAGTGCTAAGGATTTCCAGAACCATTCTTCCCAACCTCTGTACCACCATCTCTGGTGAGACACAATTTACCTAGGAATGGAGACAAAGGAACCTGGGGCAATGACTGAAGATTGTGATTCTGTTAGCTTTTCAGTGTGAGACTGTTGTTTGTTTAGTTGTAGGATAAATCTTTAAGATTTAACACAAAACCAAGTCTGCTGAGCTGGATATGCCTTTGTATTCTGTTGCCTATCCAGTCTGTCCAGTATTCTTTGAATTTTTTTACAGCAGTTTCATAAGACTGAGTAACTTAACTGATTTTTTGGGGAATGTTGAGTCAATTACATTGTTGTGGATCTGGTGTCACCTGCTAGATTGGTTAGCATTGTCAGATTTCCTTCTTTAAATTGTATTTGTGAACCACATGAGTTTAATTACAATCTGGTCTTTTGAGGCGATTATTGTTGAGACTGGCATTTTTTAATTCAATATTTAGTGAATAAGTTGAATTTAAAACCCCTGCCTGACATGGTGTGATTTGAAAATGTCTCCAGAACAAATCTGATAACATGACCACTATGGTACAATTCACTTATTCCAAGGCAAAATCAATAAATTTGCAGAATGGGCATTTAATTAGCAAATGAAGATCATTATAAGTAACGATAAGGTGAAACAATTAAGTTGATCACATATTACTACAGAGGTAAGAATCTAAGTAGGATAGAAGAGCAAATTGATCTGGAACACAAACATACAAATCATTAAATGTAGCAACTAATGGAAGTTAATAAAACAATATTTTAAAAGCACATTAAGCACTAAGATTTATATATGTAAGGCTAAAATTGAAAAGTCAGCAGTTATGCTAAACTTGTGTTGAATCTTGGTTTAGATCATACACGTTCTTTGTCGAAGTTTGGATGCTAGTTTACACGCAAGCTATAGAGGTACTGGAGAAGTGCATAAAAGATTCATAGGAATGATACCAGAAATATGGTGTTATCCCCATCGGAAAATAATGAACAGACTGGTCTCATTTCTCTTGAAAAGGTAAGGCTGAGGGGTGAACTAATGGAGGCATTTAAAATTCTGAAAGGTTTTGATACAGTCTGCACAGAGTGCTGTCAGTTGCAAAGAGCTAAACTGTAGTCACAAAATAAGGAATTCAGAAGAAACTTCTTTGTGTAAAGTGATGACAATGTGGAACTTGCAACCACAGAGAGTCAATGAGACAAATAGTAAAGATGCATTTGAGTGGAAGCTAGATAAGACAATAATAGAAAAGGGAATACTTTATTATGTTATTGGCTAAATGAAGAAGAATAGGAGCCGTGGTCTGGTTACGTTTAATGACATGTTTCAATGTTGCAATTTCGCTCCTGTGAAATTAATTCTCTATCAACATGCTGAACTGCAGGCAAAGTGCATTAAGAAAGCCATTGAGTTCCCAGTAAAGTGGGAAGAAAGCTAGTTGGAAAGGACAAATTGAATATATCATAGGGGGCTTATCTCTGTGACTGGCTGTTGTTGGCTAATGACAAAATTTAAAACTCTCAGATTCCAGGAAAGGATTAAAATGTAGAAAAGATTCAGAAGTCACCTTCACTATAAAAGGAACTATTTTAAAAAATGCTGGAAATACTGTGCAGGTAAGTTAGCACTTGTGGAAACAGAGACATTCCATTTCTGAATTTTTACCTTTTGTCAATAAAAAATTTCCAAAGGTTAGAGGTGAAACAAGTTTTATCTAGGTGCAGCAGCAGGGAATGAGGGAGACAAGGACAATAGTAAGTGCAATAGAAGAGTGCTGAAATGATGAAAGGGATGATTGAAAAGGTGAAAGATAGTTGTAATGAGACAAGTAGCAAAACAATATATCGGCCCAAAACAGCTATAGTTAGCAATAGCAGCATCTTGGGGGGAAAAAAAATTGGGAGCAATAGTTATGATCTGACTTGATTGAAGTCCGTTTTCAAGCCCAGATGATTTTAAAGTACTGAATTGAAAGATGAGATGCTGTTCCTTAAGGTTCTCTTGAGGTTAATTGGAATAGTACGTTATGTTCTTTATCTTTTATTCATTCATGGGATGAGGGTGGCACTGACTAAGTTAATATTTATTGGTTAATCTTAATTACCCTTGAGATGATGGTGGATAGCTGCCTTTATGAACTGCTGTAGTCCTTGCCAAGAAGAAAAACTTACAGTGCTGTTAAGAAGGAAGTGCTGGGATGTTAACTCTGTGGTGTTGAAGAAACAGCAGAATACTATGAGTTTTGTGGCTCTGGAGGTAACTTATAGATTGTAGTATTCCGAACTATCTGCAATTCTTTGCCCTTCTAGATGGTAAAGGTTGTGGGTTAGGAAGGCACTAACAAAGGAAGCTGCGTGAATTGTTGCAGTGTATCCTGTATTTAGTGTACATTGCCGAGAGTGAATACTGAAGATGGCGGATTGGATGCCAATCAAATGGATTACTTTGTCACAGAATGAACAAGTCTTTAGAGTGTTGAAAGGGGAGGAGAAAATGTTTGAGGGAGGCTTCATATTGAAGGTGACAAAAATAGCAGAGTATGATATTTCGAATGTGGAGATAGGTAAGGAGATAAGTAAGAGGATGGAACATCCCTATGTAGGGATGGCCAGGAAGAGTAGTGATGGAATATTTGAGGGCTTTCTGAGAAAGTCAAGGTCCCTGTCAACCACAGTGAATGGACATCCTCAGTTGAGGATAACAGGAGTCTAAATAGAATTATGGTTGTAAAAGGCAGCATTACTGAAACATTGGAAATGAGAACGGAAAGGAGTTTGTAATTGAAGCCATAGTTTCAGAGTTTGTATTTTTTGAGTAAGGCTCTAATTGAAAAAGGTAACCTTAAAGGGAAACTAAGAAAGGAAATCAACTCTTCCAGTTTGTAAGCAAACTCAGTTTGAAGCTAATTGGAAACCAGAATTTCTGCAGAAGCTGAAACTGATTAAAACCATATTAAAGGGAGGTCGAGCCATCAGAGCTGAGATAGTGATTCTATTGAATTCCATGCAGCAGGCTGAAGAAGGCAGGGACTAGATCTAGAAGCTAGAATAAGCACATATGAAGTTCGTGAAGCTCTGTTACTTGAACAAGACTTTGGTGGACGTATATCATCCAGACTTTGATTTGTAAAGTTGGGGAGGTTCTTCAGAAGTGTGGCATTTTTGGTGAAAATTGTATTCCTGAAACCTAGGTTGCTTGTATGCTTTTGTTGGCTGAAAATCTGGCTTGATCTTAAGAGAAGGGTGTAGTGATTGTAATGAGGTCAGTAAGGTGGATCTCATAGAATATGAGTTCCCTGATTGGGGCTGTTAACGTGGTCCAAATTAAGCTGCAGGCTCCACTCCTGGTGATGCCCTCTGTGAATTCCTTTAAGTTTCAGCTTTGCAACCGTACTCCCTCTGGAACCCAAAGACTTTGGTTTCCTGGAAGCTGCTTGGCAGGTCATGGGAATGACATCACCGGATCACGAGTCAGCATCATTTATGGTTGGATTTGCGATGGTATCTGATCGTCTGAACATCTGACTTTTGTTCTTGATTAATGAAAATATTCTTGGCAAATGCTTTCGCTCTTGTTTGTCCTGTGCCAGTCCAAGAATTTCATCTCTAAGATACGAATGCCCCTGGGCGTCCCTCTTAATCATGGTCTCAGTTCTGAAAACCAACAAAATAGAACTGGGATCGTATTCCATTGTTCCTAGCTGAAGTATTCAGGCGACTGTTAACCTGGTCAAATCAGGGAGCGCTGGCTAACAGATATAAACAGGAGTGTCAGAGGTTCTGTTCTCTCTGGGAGGTGGCTCTGAAAAAACTGGATCAGTGTCAAATACTATGCACATGTAAATAAAGGGTGACTTGGTGACGGGATACAAATTAGGCCTTTATTCTCTCGAATTTAAATGGTTAAGGGGATATTAAAAGGGAAAGACCGGGAAGATAAAAGATATACAATTTCCACGAGTTGAAGGCTAGAACCAGACTCAGAATTAGGGCCAGACCGTTCAGGAGAGATGTTAGAAACAACTTCTTCACACAAACAGCAGTGGAGTTATTTCAAAGAGAAGCTGTGCGGAGTTATTTCAAAGGGAAGCTAAAATTGTTTTAGTTTTGAGATAAAAAAGCCTGTGAGTAAGACACATTTCTGTGAAGCTCCCTGCTGGGGTGGAGCTAATCAACAGAATAAGTGGGAAACTATTCAATCTGTATTGCATTTGTGCCATTGTCGTTAACTCCCTTAAGTTTATTTCATCAAAAACAGTTTTCCAATTAATGTAATTTTGTTTTAGATGGTGTTTGCGTTTGTAAGGTACTTTTCACAACTGCAGGGTGGCCTAAATCACTTCATGGGCAGTGAAGTACTTTTGAAGTGCAGTCACTGTTTTATTTGTTTTAATGTTGCTATGTAGTATTGTACACATGCATTGCGCTCAACTGCTTCACTTCCAGAGCAGTACAGGAATATAGGAACAGGACTAAGCCATTCAGTCCCTACAACCTGCTTCACCATACAATAAAATCATGGCTGATCTGTGGCCTAACGCCACATACCTACCTTGGGCCCATATCCCTTGTTATCCTTGCTTAATTGGAAAGAAAAATGCCTAACTCAGATTTAAATTTAACAATTTAGTTAACATCGACCACTGTTTGAGGAAAAGAATTCCAAATCTGCACTGCTGTTTGTGTGAAGAAGTTGTTTCTAACATCTCTCCTGGATGGCCTGGCCCTAATTATGAGACTGGTTCTAGCCTTCAACTAGTGGAAATTGTATGTATCGTTATGTTCCCTGTCTTTCCCTTTTAATATCCTGAAAACCCTCAATTAAATCACTCCTTAACCGTCTAAATTTGAGAGAATAAAGGCCTAATTTGTCTTATCTTTCCTCATAACTGAACCCCTGAAGTCTACATATCATCCTTGTAAACCTGCATGGAACCCCCACCAGGGCCAAACATCCTTTCTAAGGTGTGCTGCTGAGATCTGCTGTCAGTACGCGAAGTGGGGTCTAACTAGGGATTTGCATAACTGCAGTATAACGTCTGCACCCTTGTATTCCAGCCCTTTAGATGTGAAAGACATTCTATTAGCCTTCTTGATTATTTTCTGTATCTGTTTATGTTATTTTAAAGAGGTATGCACCTGAACCCTCAAATCCTGTTGGACATCCACTGTATTAAACTTTATTAGAGACAAAAAAATCTGCTGGAATCCAAGGTAGATAAACAGGAGGCTGGAAGAACACAGCAAGCCAGGCAGCATCTGGAAGAAAGGAGCAGTCAACATTTCGGGTATTGCCCTTCTTCAGAACTTTGTGCCTTCTAAAAACAAATCCCTTTTTCTTTTTCCTTGTGCAGCCCGAGATAGATAACCTCACAATTGCTTATATTAAAATCCATCTTCTTGGAATTCATAGTTCATAAAATCACCACAGTGTGGAAACAGGCCATTAGGCCCAGCAAGTCCACACAGTCCCTCCGAAGAGCATCCCATCTAGACCCATCCCCCTACCCTATCACTGTGACTGCATTTCCTGTGGCTAATGCACCTAACCTACAAATCCCTGAACACTATGGCCAATTTAGCAAGGCCAATCCACCTAACTTGCACATCTTTGGACTTTGCACATCTGTCGCTGCTTTGCCTAATTCACTTAATCTATCAATATCCTATTGTAATTTTATTCTGTCACTAACACTATCTCCAATGCTGCCCAATTTTGTCCTCAGCAAATTTTGATATTTCACTTTTTATGCCATTATCCAAGATGTTAATGAATGTTGTGAATAACTGAAGGACTCCACCAGTCACACCCTGCCAATTTGAGTTATTATTCTACCTCTTCTGCTTGCTGCCACTCATCCAGTTTCCTAACCACTTCAGTAATTTACCTTCAATTCCACCTTAGCTAATGGTCTCTTGTGTGAGACATAATCAAAAGCCTTCTGGAAGCCCATATAAACAACATCGATTGATTTAGCTCTGTCCACCACCTTTTTTCACCTCATCAAAAAAAAACTC